CATGTAAGAAGCCAGTTAGCTTTCTTGCAGTTCAAGCCTTCAAAAATAGCATGCACGTATGCAGAGGAGCCAAATATGATTACAGATAATGTATCTTGACTCAAATAAATTCTCGATCAGGGACTAGCCAAAGGATATGTCTAATGACTGGCTTCCTTATGCCATTTTGTCTGTGATTATCAGCGAAGACCTAAGTAATAATTAGAAATATACTACCTGCATTTGGAAGTGTGGTAGAAGGCCACTAGGTTCCTTTAATCATCTCCTTAGTGACAGTCTTTCCTATTAAAGTTATTTGGCCAAGGAAAAGATCCAACAAACTTGTTTACTACCTAAGTACTCTAACCAAAAATAAGTAGGTATATGAAACATTTGTACTAAATGTGAATTTTACAAAGATAGGCTTTCAGCTTTAGAAAGTAGTAGATAGATCCTCATTTGAAATGTACACGTGCAAATTATCATTCTTGTCTGAAACTGACATACCCTGGGATTCCTGTCTATTTGCTTTGGAGACTCAACCTGGGGCTACAGATATATTAATTTAGAACAAATGTAAACAGCTTTAATCTGGGTGCCATGAAATCAGAATTCTCTGCTTATGCCTGTCATTAACTTCTTCCTTAGGCATATATTAATCCTTTTGATACTTAGTTTCCCTACCAGGAAGTGAGGTGAGGGAAAAACACATATATATTGTATATGGAATTATATAAAATATTTCATATAAATGCATATATATTTCACAGATTCAAGAAAGAATGGGAGAATAAAGATGCTGTATTAATGTCAGCCATTAGTTGTAGTAATCTAAGAAATACCAACATTTGAATACTTAGTTTCAAAATTTTATAGATATTTATTTCTTCCTCCAATATACATTTCTAAACTGTGAATGCCTTGGGAATTTAGCAAATCATTTACACATTTCTGAGAAACAAATATGTCCTTTCATCCATCCATGCTACAATCTTCCAAGTACCCCTTTCTGGAGAAAGACTAACTTATAATTCCTCCCAGAGGTATTATTCTTGGTTAGGCAGAAAAGCTATATGTAGGAACATGGTGCTGTTGAAAGCTAGTTACATTCATGTTCTTATTTGCATAGTTTTTTTCCTGTTCAATGTCACCCAGGAACTACTGAGCTTAAAAGAATCAGCATAACTTCTGAAAACTGCTTTATAATCTCCCCTTTGCTCTCAACATCATAATCTAAATCAAAGTTTGGCAAACTATGGCCCACCAACCAAATCTGAGTTGTCACATTGCCTGTTTTTATAATTTAAGAGTTACTGAAACGGGGCGCCTGGGTGGCTCAGTTGGTTAAGCGACTGCCTTCGGCTCAGGTCATGATCCTGGAGTCCTGGGATCGAGTCCCGCATCGGGCTCCCTGCTCGGCAGGGAGTCTGCTTCTCCCTCTGGCCCTCCCCCCTCTCATGTGCTCTCCTCTCTCTCTCATTCTCTCTCTCAAATAAATAAATAAAATCTTTAAAAAAAAAAAAGAGTTACTGAAACAGCTGACTTGTTGTCTGTCATTGCCTTTGTGCTACAACTTGGAGTTGAGTGGCTATGAAAGATACTATATGGACCACAAAGCCCCAAATATCTATCATCTGCCCAATTAACATTTATTCATGCTAGGTCTAAATCATCATTTCCTTCTTTTACAAAGCTCTGAAGACACACATATTTTAATAGTGAAAGATATGAATTTAATGTCAAAAGGTCTAGTTTCTGTCTCAAACCTCAATTTCTTTACCTATTAAAAGATGACAGGTTAGCCTTGTCCTTTCTTTGAATATGGAAGGACTTTAAAATCTGGGAAGTTGGGTCTTGCGTCTCTTGAACATGATGTATCTAGATATTTAGTCCCCAATTCATTTTTCCCCAATACATGATTTATACATAACTGTGAGTTGAAACATGATGCTTGTTTCTATACCACAGACTGTTATAGGGATTCTGAAATAGATTATGTGGAAAAGAAAATTATAGGGCAGTGAAGCTCTGTTTCATTAGCTATATCATCTGAGAGGATGTAAAACTTTTGAAACATGAGTCATATAGTGTTACTTCTCTGCTCAAGACTCTGCAGAGTTCCTCATTTCACTTAAAGTGAAAAGGCTTACAATGGCTTAATAGGTCTGATATAATCTGATCTACCCTTAACTGCATTCTCTCATCCTGTGCTACTCTCCCCTTCCTTACTCTAGTGTAGTCATACTTGTCTCTTCGCAATTCCTAAATCACTCAAGACGGTGGAAATTTAAGGCTTTTGCATGTTAGGTAGATAACCTAACATACTTCAGGTCTTTGTTGAAATGGCATCTTCTCATTGATGCTTTTCTTGATTGCCCTCTAAAATTAAAACCCATTTTTCCTAGCACACTCTCCAAATCACCCATTCCCTGTTCTGTTTTTCTCTTTATAGTACTTATCACTTTCTAGAATGCTATGTAATTAACTCATTTTGTATCCTGTTTGTTGCTCTCTTTTTTAAAAGTTTTACAATGGCATAGATTTTTTCTGTGGTTTCTAAGGTATTCCTAGTTTCTAGAAGAGTGCTTGACACATAGTAGGAAATCCCCCCAAAATATTTTATGAATGAATAAATGAATGGAGTGAAACCTTAAGATAACAATGAATATTTATAAATACTTAATATGTGCTGAGCCTTTTGAACATTCCTGAAAATATATGGTGAATAAGCCACAATATCTGTTCTTAACAAATACACAGCCTGGTGAGGAACAAAAAGATACCACAAACAGTCATCAATTTGACCAAGTCTTACAAGTGAATAAGCGAATTAAAATAAAACTTGCCACTATTAACCTTGCTCCAATAGATATGCCCTAAACCTTTTCTGTTTTACAGACTTTCATTGGCTTCCTCCTCCTCCCATTTCTTCTTTTCTCTTTCTTTATAGAGTTGACTATTTTTTCCTTTATCATAATTTTATTCTTTTGATTCTTTTTATCTTAATTTCTCCTAACTTTCTCTAGTTACTCTCCTGTAAGATTTTACTAATAACTGCTTCATAAACTTTTTCTAATAATCAAGGAGAATATTCCATGTAACACACTTACCACACTGTCAGTCATATTGAAAGAGCTCCATATGAAAGAAACCCTTTTGGGATACTCCAAGCTTTCAACTACCAAAGGCCAGCAGGAGAGCTAAGAGAATCCATTCATTCTAAAGCCTTCTACAAGTATAAAGCAGCCACCATCAGTTTTGGAAAGAACATGGCATTGCAGCAGAGCAAATAGAGGTTTTCCAAGGCAGAAAAATGTGGAGGCAGGACTGGAAAGCAAAGATCATTCCCAAATGGCCCAGCAAGCTGATATCTAATTTGTGAAGGACAGAGATGATATAGTTTGACCAGTAAATTGCCTATAAAGCACTAAGAAGCCTCACCAGCACTCAGATCCTTTGTTCTACAGAAGGAAAAGCCCTGATCACAATCTCAAAATATGTTAAGTCAGTAGTGAACTAAATCTGCAACAATGCCTATAAACAGTTTAACTTTATTTCAGATTGACTTAGCCTCTAATTGTAGCAGCCTGCAAGAAAATGTCATAATATTTTCTGGAGGTAAATACTGTATAATTCAGTCCCCACTGTTATTTAACACAAAATGTCTGGCAGAAAACAAAAAAAATTGCAAGGCACATGAAACAGCAACAACAACAACAACAAAAGTGACTAATAGTCAAAAAAGAAATAGTTGATAGAGGAAACATAAATGGCTTCATGATACAATTATAGATGATATCAGTTATATGATAGAGACACTAATATACTGTTTTAGTCCACTTGGGCTGCTACAAGAAATATACCATAAATTGATAGCTTACAAACAACAGAAATTTATTTCTCATAGTTCTGGATTCTAGTGGAATGGAGAAACCTGACAATACCACGTCACCCAGGTGATTCTGGGAAATCTAAGATCAAGTCACCAGAAGATTCAGTGTCTGGTGCATACCCACTTTCTAGCTCATAGTTGGTAGCTTCTAGCTGTCACCTCACAAGGCAGAGTGAAGGGACTAAGGAGGCCTCGTGGGATATCTTTCATAAGAACACTAATTCCATTCATGAGGGCTCCACTCTCAAGATCTCTCTCTCTCCAAAGGCTACACCTCCAAATACCTTTATATTGGCATCATTTTAAACTTATGAATTTTAGGGGGATATACACATTCACACCATAGCTAGTATCTATTGGAAATGGTGGATAACATCCATGGCAAAATATTGAGAATATACAAAAGGAAAAAATGGAATTGTATAAATGAAAAAAAGAAATCAGTGATTAAAAATGAATTCATCTGTTGACAACAGATTGAGCACAGCAGAATGATGAATCAATACACTTGAATACTGATCAATAGAGTATATCCAAACTAGGAAAAAAAGAATTAAAACAAAAACAAGAGATAATAGATATGTGGTATGTGAGAAAATATCAAATGGTCTGCATAATTTCAACCTGAAAGGAGGAGAGAAAATGGATTAGAGGAAATATGTCAGGATAAATGGTTGATGACTTCTAAAAATTAGTTGAAAGAAATCAACTCACAAATCCAAGAATCTCATCAAACACCTCAGCTTGGATAAATAAATTTAAAAATTACTAGGCACATCAAACTGCTAGAAACAAAACATAATATGCAAATCTTAGAAGTAGCTAGAGAAAAAAAAGACACATTAAATATAGCAGAAAGGGTCCTTCTCAGCAGAAACTTTGGGAGGCTAGAAGAGAATACAATAATATCTTCACAGGGGTGAAAGAAAATAAAATATGAACCTGGGAATCTATAATTGGTGAAAATATCTCCCCAAATAACAGTGAAATACAGACATTTTTAAGCTGACAGAACAGAAGAATTTGTCCCCAGGAAACCTGCACTATTATAAGTTCTTCAGCCTAAAGGGAAATGATAGTAAATGAAATCCTGGATATCTTCTCTTAAGAAAGGAATGAAGAGTTCTTGGGGTCATGGCCTTGCTCCCGCCTTGCAAGGCAAGGGTCCGGGCGCTTCCGCGCGCGTGTGTGCGCGTGGGGCCTGAAGTGCTCGTGCGTCCGGGCTAGGTCTCTGCGGGGGCAGAAGCAGGAGCCATGGGTGGGACCTTCAGCACCCGCCGGGTCACCTTCGAGGCGGACGAGAATGAGAACATCACCGTGGTGAAGGGCATCCGGCTTTCGGAAAATGTGATTGATCGTATGAAGGAAACCTCCCCATCTGGTTCGAAGTCTCAGCGGCATTCTGTTTCTGATGAAGAATTGAAGAGAAGAGTGGCTGAGGAGCTGGCATTGGAGCAAGCCAGGAAAGAGTCTGAAAATCAGAAACGACTAAAGCAAGGCAAAGAACTGGACCGAGAGAGGGCTTTTGCTAATGAGCAGTTAACCAGAGCTATTCTTCGAGAGAGGATATCAAGTGAAGAAGAACGAGCCAAGGCAAAGCACCTGGCTAAGCAGCTGGAAGAGAAAGATCGAGTGATAAAGAAGCAGGATGCATTCTACAAAGAGCAGCTGGCTAGACTGGAGGAGAGGAGCTCAGAATTCTACAAAGTCACCACTGAACAATATCAGAAAGCTGCTGAAGAGGTGGAAGCAAAGTTCAAGCGGTATGAGTTTCGTCCTGTCTGTGCTGATCTGCAGGCCAGAATTCTCCAGTGTTACCGCCAGAATTCCCAGCAGACCCTCGGCTGCTCCGCTCTGGCCAGCCAGTACATGCTCTGTGTCCGTCAGGCCAAGCAGATCAAGCCACAAGAGGATAAATGAGACACTATGATACTGGGACATTGTCTGGTCTGACTCTTACATCAGCATGCTTGAGAAGGGAGGATAAAGTCAACTTTTAGAACAAGCAGAACTCCTCAACGTTAATTCCAGAGGCGGAACATTTTTTTTTTTTTCCTAGTAAGAAAGTAACCCATTTAAGGAGAAGACGATTAAAGAGAAGCACCAAAGAGCAGATTCAGCTGAAGCATATCCCAGTTGATCAACTGCAGTTTGAAAAGCCAAGGCCTAGATCAGGTATCAGCCAGCAAGGACACACTGCAGTGTTAGTCAACTCTGTTCATGATGATTAAAAGAGAAAGGCAGACCTTTCTACCTTTAAATTTTAACTT